ACACTCTTCGGGGCACTGCATTACAATATAAAGCACAAGAGGCGAAATATAATAAACAACAAGCAAAAAATTGAATTGAGTGAAAATGGAAATAGAAAGCAGGTTGGAGAAGAAGAAATAAATTTTAACAGAAAATGTTTCTTCATTAAAAAATCCTACAACAAAATTTTGAATCTATTTTTTTTTTAAAATTATTCTAAGTTTTGTTTTAAGATTACAGTTTCGAATTGTTCAAAAAAGAAAAGGATAAGAAAAATAAAAGAAGTCTATATGTATAGTCCTATGGGCAATCATTGACTACTGGCGACATATATGATATCTCTTGCTGTTGGTTGATATTTTTTATCCACTTATAAAGCTTCCCTATTCTCTTTGTTTTGTGAAACGGAGATATTTTTTTAATTTTGATGAAATATTTTTGTTTCTAGTATTGTGGATACATATTTGAAAAAAATAAATAAATTATTAATAAACGAGATATTGTTTAACTTTTAAAATTGGTTTTGGAATAAATAGAATTAATAAATTTTATAGAAATCACTATATAAATAAAGTTAAACTATTCAAGGGCGTGAAGAGCTACCACAATAGTATTTAGTATTTCATTACTGCTTGAAAGAAAATTATCAAGTGGCAAGTATTTTTACAATTGATTCAAATTTCTGGACCAAAATCAAAATTTTCAAACCAAATACAAAATACTATTAAGAATCTAACTCGAAAGTTAAATTCTTACACGAATGAGAAACAGATCGACCTATATCTTTTTTAATACAAATCAATCTGCTATTCTCAACTCTTGCTTTTCAGCAATCGATCTAGTCGAAACTTGTGAAATTAAATAAGAATTCTAAATAAATAAATTTATGCTTTTAAATAGATATAATTTGAACAAGTAACGTTCATCGTCAAGCGATTCACTTAGCCCTAGACTGATAGAATACATGTACGCATGTAATAACATAAAAAGCTACATTAAAAAAGTAATACGCAAAATTGATAATATGACCAGTATATCTTAGGCGAGCAGAAAACTTAATTTGGAGTATTCTCACTCTAAGTAAAGATAATGCATTTTACAAATTTAATTTTTTTTTGTAGTTTTTGTTTTATTTTATTTTTGCTTTTATAAATATAAATAGCGCCCAATAAGATTAGACAAGAATACGACTTTTTTTGTAATTATATTGGCGCTATTTGTACGTACAAAAATATGAATTATATTATTCATGAAATTTGAGTTTTATTAATCAATATTTAATGCTTAAATTCGCGCATTAATTCTAAACTATTAATAAATTAGATATTCATTGATACAACATTGCACAATCAATCCTACAATAATGAATAATTTAAACGATTTCTTTAAATCCATACTGCTCATTTGGTCTGACTCTCACTAACTAAATGCTTTTGTAAGCCGTTTTACACCACTACCCGAATTATAGTTATTTCATTGACATTTTACCGATGATTATTATGGGTTCGTTTACATCAGTCTTTAGATGGTCATTTGTGCCATAGTTACCGGAATAGTTGTTTTACCATGGTTGCTATATGGTCACCTGTGCCATAGTTACGTGGTCGTTTGTACCAAAAAAATGACCATTTGTGCCATAGTTACCTAGTTAATTTTGGTAAAAAAATGGCCGTTTGTGCCAAAAAATGGTCACTTGTGCCAAACAAATGGTCGTTTGTGCCAAAAAAATGGTCACATGTGCCAAAAAAAATGGCCATTTGACCGCGTTACCGACAGACAGACACAGGTGAATTTCGGTTTCTAGACCCTAGCCTTTCAGTCTAGGGAATATAAAATGCAGAGTTAATTTCGCCGACACGTTTCGTGTTTTTTATTAATATATTAAAACACTCATCAGGGCTCTGCATTTACAATAAAAAGCAAAAAGCAAAAAGGAACTTTAAATTCAAAATAGTAAAACAAACGGGCAAATAAAAACAGAAATAACTGCTTCAAAGTTTATATGTATTTTCACTTTCTTCATATTGTTTTGAACTTCCTAATACAAACCAAAGATTTTTTTAAAAACGTTTACGATCTTGTGCTGGAATAAGCATACCACGGATATGACTTAGAGCAAGCGATGGTTATACTTTAGGATTATATAAATGTGCTTTATATTGATTTCTTCAATCGGATGTCCATTAGATAAAATTCGTTAGATAAGCCTTCAAAAGAATTATATCACTTATTTGTCTCTCAAGACCTAGACAATAAAATAATATAGGGTGGGGGTATGTTAATATATTGATTAATAAATAATCAAAATCAAAAGCTAGCAAGGCACGTGTTTCGATTACCGCTAAAATAATCATTTATCAATTACTTAAGATTGTAAGATGTTACAAATAGATATAACTCTCCTACTAGGATTTATTAATGTCAAAAGTCTTATGAGAAGACTTTCAAGCAGTTAATAAACCTAATAAACTGTCGTTTGAAAGATTTTGAATAAAATTTAAATTAGAACTCAAAGACTTGAAATTCAAAGCATCACACGACGCGTTTCGACTGGAGCTTATCCCAGTCATCATCAGGTATGTTTAGAATTTCTTAATTACATGCAAGTCATAACTCACACAAGTTTTGGAGCAGTTATGGCTTAAACGTAATTACATAAAAGATTAAATCATTATTAAGAAGTTTTAGATTGAGAGCATCACACGACGCGTTTCGACTGTCGCTCAGGCAGTCTTCATCAGGTATGTTTACAATCTATAGTACATATATCTAGTACTCTCCAAATACTGAAGAAGTAATAGATAAGACCGTACCACAAAAGTTCCGAATAACAAGATTAAATTATTATTAAGAAGTTTTAGGTTGAGATTATTAAAAATTGGGTGTGGATGTGGGTGTGACCAGTTGCCATGACACGTGTTTCGATCCAGCCAAGGATCTCATTCAGATGGCAATTAGTACTAGCAATTTCAATAGTAGAAATTCTAAGCACTAAATTTATTCTGTTACTATGAAACCTAAGATGATTCCAAAGTAATGATAAAATCATATAGCAGTGTGTGGCCAGCTGCCATGACACGTGTTTTCGATCTTGCTCAACGCTCTTATTATCGATTTGATAAATAAGGTATTGTATAAATAGATGCTAAAAATTTCTCAAGTGAATATTCAATATACTATTGTTGTTGTTTACACCAAGATTCATCTTGGAAACATATAAACATTTTCAAAATAAGTTTATCATTATGTCTACGATTACAGCTGAATTTAAATTTGAAAATATTCAAATAAGATAATGAAGATTGAGTTAAATTTTTCCATTTATAACTATTAATCATATTAATAGCATTCTTTGGTTGTATTGTTAAACTTTTTAAAGTAGGTATCTATTTCACAAGTATTTAAAAATCTTCAAAATTATATTTAAATAAACCAATAATCAATTGTTTTAGATGAATACCATTATATTGATTAATAATTAAATTATGATTCTTTATCGAATGATTATGTCGAGAAATAAATTCAACATTTAGACATATTAACATAGAAAAATATTTGAATAAATAATATAATGAATGTTCTAAAGAACATCGAATGAATTGTTAAATTTATAATATTTGGGGTGGGTGTGAGTGGGGTGTGGGTGTGAGTGTGGGTGTGGGTGTGTAACAGCTACCATAATCTAGATTTCATCTCGGCTAAGAGAATCATCAGATGGCTTAAAATTCTATAATGATTTCGAAAAGTCACAAGAATTGTTGAATTTATACTGTTCTATAACCATTTCAAGAAACAATTATAGAATGATAAAACCGTTTTACAGTAGTGTGTAACAACTACCATAATCTAGATTGGTGTGGGTGTGGGTGTGGGGTGTGTTTAGTATGAGATTCAAATATGAATCAATCAAATAGCTAGCAAGACTGGTTTCGACAAGTGCTAAGATGTTATACTTATTAATTGCTTTGATGATTTTGTTGAAATTATATCTCTTAATATGAATGGTATTTTAGGAAAAGTTGCGAGGAAGACTCTGGTTGTGTTTGATGTTGATCAGAAGGTTGTACGGGTAAGTTATTATATTCAGTATGGTTGATTATGTTTGTCCTGAAATATATTTAATAGAATGCATATAATAATAAATAATAAAGAAAAAAACTACCGAATAAATCATATTTTATTTGTGAAACGTTTCGTCAACTACTGTTGACTTCGTCAGTCAAAATAAAATGAAGTTACATGAAAAAAAAAGAACACTTATATATATAGTGCGAACATTTTGTGCATTGACTAAGAGAACAATAAGATAATAAAACGTTTTATTATCTTATTGTTCTCTTAGTCAATGCACAAAATGTTCGCACTATATATATAAGTGTTCTTTTTTTTTCATGTAACTTCATTTTATTTTGACTGACGAAGTCAACAGTAGTTGACGAAACGTTTCACAAATAAAATATGATTTATTCGGTAGTTTTTTTTCTTTATTATTTATTATTAAATGTATTTACCGAAAAATAAATAACAAATACTCAAGAATGTATATAGTTTATAAAGTTTCAATTGTTTTTTTCGATATAAGTGTGGGATACTCACAATAATTTTGTATAAGTTCCATTTATGTTGTTGAGATGATTTTTGGTAGGCGTAGCTCTCTATATACATATCTAGAAAAATGATACAATTTACTATATCTATTTTCATATAAAAATATTTGGCATGGAAGTTAAGAAATGAGAAAAAATGAACAAATTTGAACCAGAAGAAGATGTGAATTCATAGTAAAGTAGTTGAGTTTCACAGGCATAACTATGAAAAATGAAAGAAGTAATTAAAGTCTAAGTATGATACATGTGAAAAAGAAAAAGAAAAAGAAACAGGAAGAAATATAGTATTTATCATAGAATTAAATCTTTTCTAAGTACAATATCATTATTATATAGAAAAAGGTAATTGAAACAGAAGAGAACAAACACAATAGATATACTATTTACAAGTAGTATGAGTAAAGGAACGATACTTATTGCTGAGGAGGTTTTTCGTTGATTGATCTTCGTGCTGCTTCGGTACTTGGTTGCATGAGGGTCAACATATCACGTTTTGGTTTTTTGTGAATGAAGAGACTTTGTAATGTACGATTCAATATTGTACCAAGAATAAGTCGTGTATTTTTAAGACGTGATCCTGGATAAACATAGAACTTTTGCCATATTTGACGATATTCTTTTTTGAAATCTAATAGTGGTCCATTTTCAAATGTATAATGAAGATAAATTTGATCTTTATGTTTATAATTATTCGTGTTAGAAATTAAGGCACCATTTGTTTGGACTTTGGATTTAAGTTCTCTTTTTGTTGGTTTGTGGGTGTGGTATTATGTAATTGTTCATATGCTTCGCTATTCAGTTCAGTACATACATTCATAGCATCATGTTGAATAAAGAAATTTTTTATGTGTTGTTGTATAAATTTTGGTGGATAATCGTTAACTATTAATAACATTTCTGCACTTAGTCGTTCTATATCAAAATTTTCTACAGTTGAACAGATACCTGCTGCTCGAACTAACATAGTATAAATTATATTGACATGAACATGTCGTGGATGATCAGATTCATAAGGTAGAATATGAGGTTCCCAAGCTGATTTATGATAAATAGTTGTTTTTAATTGTCCATTATTGTTTTCAATACTGGCATCAAGATATTCTAATGCTTGACTAATCGTAATAGTAATTTTAATGTTTGGATCTGTTTTCATTGTTTCATTAAGTTGTTGTAGAATTTCTTCTTTTGATAAATTTGTAGTCATAAATACATCGTCAATATATCTACAAAACATTAATAAAGTATCAGTATAAAATAATATAGAAGTAATAATTTGAAACTTACCGGCCATAAATTTCATGATGGCGATGTTAATGTTGTATTAATTTTTGTTCCCATTCTAACATATAAATATTGGCGAGAAACATAGTAAATGGTGAACCCATAGCACCACCTTTAATTTGTCGATAATATTTATCTTTATATGCAAATGAATTTGTATCTAAAACAACAGATGCTAATTTAATAATTGTTTCTACTTTGAGATTTCCAATTTTGCCATTAACAGAATATTTATTACAGAACCGTCTTAAAGCAGAAATAGCACCATCACGTGGTATCATTGTATATAAATCAGTGACGACAAATATAACAAATAATGTTGTTGAAGTAAGATAACGTTTCTGTTCATATTGTTTTAATTTTTGAATAAGATCTATACTATTAATAAATGTAATATCTTTTGTTACATAATTATACATTGAAGTAAGAAGTTGATCAAGAAAACTACATATTAGTCTAGCTGGTGCATTGATTGAAGCAACAATAGGTCGGACTGATATTTCAGGCTATCAAACGAAAAAAAAATAGAATGAAACAATCATCTGAAAAACAAAACAAACTTTTTACCTTAAGTACTTTAAGATTGAAATAAATATGGGCTAATTCCAATGTTTTTAAATTCGGATACATTTGTTTGTATTGTTCATTGGTAATTTCATTCCTTTCGTGTAAATGATCAAGTAATAATATAACCAAATGTAAATCATCAGCTAATGGACAAATACCACTCGTAATTTCTCGATAAGCATTAGTTTTATTCATATAATTTGTAATTTTTTCTTCGTATTCTTGTGTATCAATAAAGAAAAATAATTTACTTTTATCCGTTTGTCCAACAGCAATATTAGCTTTGCGTAATTTTCGTTGCATTGATTTGATCATTTCATAAATATATCGAGCATTGGCTTTGAGTTTTTTAGATAGTGGTTTAGTATGTAGTTGTTGAAGTAAAATTTTCATTTCCGAAAAAAAATTCGTTGCACGTGTATCATTTGTTAAAAACGTATAATTAGTAAGATTTTTACAATTTTCAGTATGAAGCCACTTGTATTCTTGATCAATAATTTTTTCTATAGGCTCCTTGTAAAAGAATCGACTTTGACATGGTGGAATAAATTTTAAACCTTTATTGATAATAAGTAGTTGTTCATTGGATAATGATATAATTGTCTTGGCAAAAAATAATGAAAGAAACGTACTTGTATTATTAATAATATTTAATTTTGTTTTGCTCCGACGCCATCGGTGTCCATTGTATTGTCTTGTGACGTCGGAGCTTTGTCGAAAAAAGATTTCATTTTTTGTTGTGTAATATAATCAGCACGTTCGATCATCTGTTTTTGACGTACTTCAATAGCTGCCATTAATTGTTTGAATGTATCAGAACTGGAATTTTGTTTCTTTAATTTATCTGTAATCATTATTAATTTCTTTTCTTCTTTTTTTGCTATTTTATCATAATATCGTACTTTATCTTCAGCAGCTGCTATACTTAATTCAAGTAAATCATATTTAAATCGACCAATTTTTTTTAAACGACGTGCATTTAATATTGTTTGTTGTTTATTATCATTATCATCAGTAGTTGATTGTTTTGATCTAGTAAGTTTTTTATCAAGTAAATAATCAAGAAGATTGAATGCTGGTGGTAAACAATTAGAATGAATACGATGTTTTAATATTTCAATTTGTTCTTCCATTTGTTTTTTATTTTGAATTGCTTTCCATATATTACGAATTGAACGAATTTGTTGTTTATTTGGTTTTAAATCATAAACCTGTTGTACTAAACGATGATCTGTTGATTCTAATTTTAACATTTTTTTATTATGTTCAAATTGTTGTTTTTATTTATGTTGACCTTTACGTACAACAGCTATAACCATTGCTGATAATGTTGTAAAATCTAATTGAGGATTCATTTCAGAAAGACATTGAGGTAACGGTTCATTAGCAAATTGATGTAATGCTTGTGATGCTTGTTGAAGTTGTCGTTGAATTGGTTTTAATCGTTGTTCAATTAAGGTTTTTGATCGACCATAAGTATAATTCATACTATTCATAGCAGCCCATTTTTTTGAAACACGTCCATACCATATATTTTCTTGCATACCAATATCATTATAATATTTCCATTGACTTTCTTGTAATTGTACACAGAAGACACGATGTATTAAATAAGCAAATTGACGAATATAATTAATTTTTTCTTTTGAATTTAATTGTTTAACAATTTCTTTAGCACCTTCTAATGAATTAATTAACATTTTTGTGTACTCAAAAAGTGAGTACACTACTAAAATCGGTCAGTGTGTCCGGCCGTCCGGCCGTCCGTTTATTCGATAACTCTTCACAATTACATTCGATTGAGCTGAAATTTTGTGCACAGAATTGTCTCATCAATATCTAGGTCGAGTTCGAAGATGAGAAGGATCCGACAAGAAATGGCTGAGTTATCGAAAAAATTGTCATTTTTGATCAGACCATCCCTGAGGGGGAGTACAGGGATTTTTGAAAAAAAAACAAATTTTTTCTCAGAATTATCCACAACATATATAAATCGACTCAGTTTTTAACGCTGATTCTGAATCTGATATTAGTTTTGAAAAAAATTGTAGTTTTCTAACGAAACATTGACTGAAAAAGGTCTCAAAATACACAAAAACTGCATCTAGAAACCAAATTGCCTAGATATGTCTCAGATGACCAGCTATTTGGGGGTTTCTCAAATGCCTGGTTTTGTAGCTAGTCAAAAGGCCTATCGAAAGGTAAATACCCGAACTCGATAGCTATTACTATTGATGATTTATTATAAAAAAAATTGCATATCCCTTTTCACTTTTTGTTATTTACATGTGCAGCTAAAAAAAACAGAAACTTTCAAAGAAAAAA